GGAGGAGTGCAGAGTGGAGAACTAAAGCCCATTAGTAGGCAACTGGACATCCCCTCACAGAAGGGTCATGGGGAGGAGATGAGCTAGTCAGGGTGCAGGTTCTCAACGATGAAACATCCAATTTTCCTCTAGTTCTTAAATGTTTCCTTGCCCTCCCACTGTCATGATCCCAATTCTACCTTGCAAGTCTGGCTAGACCAGAGGATATACACTGGTACAGATAGGAACTGGAAACACATGGAATCCAGGGTGGATGATCCCTTCGGGACCCGTGGTGGGTGTGGCGATACGGGGAGGGTGGGTTGGAAAGGGGGAACCGATTACAGGGATCTACATGTGGCCTCCTCCTTGGGGGACGGACAACAGAGGCATCGGACGGTGCAAGATATGACAAAACAATAATTTGTAAGTTATCTAGGGTTCCTGAGGGAGGGGGGAGCGGGGAAGGATGGGGAGCTGATGCCAGGGGCTTAAGTGGAGAGCGAATGTTTTGAGAATGCTGAGGGCAATAAGAAAAGATGTACTGCTCTAATAAGAACCACCTATATGGATGAGATCAAAGTGGTTACACATTGGATTGCTAACTGCATCCAAACCGCCTGCAGCTCTGGGAGAAAGACGGGGGGCTCTCTGCTCTCATAAGAGTTACAGCCTCAGAAATCCACAGGGGCAGCTAGCTCTATCCCGCCCTAGTGGGTCGCTGTATGTGGGATCAAAGAGAAAAACAAGACTGCCTGTTGAACATAAACATCTGTGATGACACTTTGATTGGTGTTTACGGCAAGTGCTTGGCAGTGAAGAGAAAACTCTCACTGTTGTTGAGAATGTACACACGGCACACACCAGCAGTTTCTGCATGGGCAATTCCATGCCATTTATGAATTTTCCCCCTCTTCTGAGTGGTTCCTCTCGCTTGAACTTGAACTTGCTGCCCCTAAACCTCCTATCAACTCTTCCCCTTTGCTGTTGTCAGTTTGGTCCCTGATGGGAGCAGCACATATTAACAGCTAGGTTTTGAAGTCATTAAAGCAATGGCCGCAGTGCCTATTGGTTTCCTCCGTCTGTCTTCTGAGGGAAACCAAGCATTCTGACCTTTGCATGGTTCTGCTTTGAGTTGCAATTTTTGAGGTCTCGTAGCACCCACTACAGCAAGAATTTAAATCGACTGCATTTTACCCAGAATCATGGTCGATCATCCTGTAAGCCATATTGTGTGCTCTTAAGTAGTTCCAACCCACAGCAGTAAGGCTGTAGAACAGCCCCTGGGGTTCCCATACTGATCTCTGTGGACGCCGACTGCCACCTCCTCCTGTAGAGCCCCTCATTGGTTCAAACTGCAGACCTTGCAGTTAGCAGACGAGCACTTAGCTCCTGCTCCCACGGAGCCCGTTGCCATAAGTCAGCACTACAGGCAAATCTGTCTCCAACAGGACACTTGCGTTATTGTGCTTCAGTTGTGTAGAGCAGCTGTTAATGTCCAGCTCCCATCAGCTCCTGCTCCTCTCTGATAGTCCCACTGCAGTCGCTTCCTGGTGCCGGTAACTACACACCAAACCAACCAAGCCCACCGCCATCCAGTCGATTCCCACGCCGGGTGACCACATATAATTTCTGAGGCGATAAATCTTTAGGGGAGCAGATGCCTCATTTTTCTCCCACCGAGCAACCAGAGGGTTTGAACCCATGCTTACACAACAGTGCCACAAGGGCTCC